GCATGGTAAGAGTGGACTCACTAGAGACTTTGCGAGCACCAGCCTTTGCTGTAACCTTCTGGCTCTGATATTCTCCAGCTGTGTGATGTCAGGCAAGAAGCTTTACCTCTGATTGCTAGTTTCTTATACAAGTTGGCAAAATTGACATCAGGATCAAATGGAAAAAACCCACAAAGCACAAAACCACACAAAAGAATAGATGTAAAATAAACATCAAAGAACTCAGTAACTTCCGAATTGAAAGAACCAAATAGCCTCCCTTCCAAAGGAAAGTTCTATGTATCAATAGCTTTATTTACTTATTTATTTTAGAGTCTACTATTTGCAAAGCAGGCAGGGAGCTCTGGTGGCACAGTGGGTAGAGCGATGTGCTGCTATCACAAAGGTGCCCTCTCTGGCAGTTCAAATCCACCGTGGACTCCAAGGGAGAAAGATGCGGAATCTTTACCTTTGTGATCTCTCAGCCTTTCTTTTTGCCCTTTACATTGTTGTTAGATGCCACCAAGTCAATTGCGACTCATAAAAACCTTATGAACAACAGATCAAGATGCTCCCCCTGCATTTTGTTGTTGTTGTTGTATATACCTTCAAGTTGGAAGTGACACACAGTGACCCTCCAGTGGATTTTCAAAGGCCTATCCTTCTCCTACCTATGAAGAACAGCTCAGGAAATTTCCTGGCCCTACTTCCTGGTTCCTTCCTAGATCTGTCTTTGAATCTGCTTTTCTACCCATTCTGTTGGAAATAGGATGGCTGCCCTTTTGGACTAACTGTTTAGCCTGTACATTTGTTCCTCCCCTGAAATGATCCTTAACCCACCATGAGTCCAGTCTAAACTTCCTACAGTCCATTCGGGGTGGACTCAGGCTTCCTCCATCTGAAAGCAGAGTTTGAACAGGACTCAGGCTTCTTCCATCTGAAAGCAGAGTTTGAACATTTGGGCCTTTCACTTCTCTGGAGAGTAGAGACAGGAGAGTGGATGTTGCTTCAGTCCAGGCCAGAGGTGACAACGACCCGGACAGGGCTGGTCACAGCGGCTGCAGAGCTGGGAGGAGTGAGAGCAAGTGGAAAAGATATCATGAAGTCAGAACTGACAGCACTGTAATTTGCCTGTGACTTTTAATTACAGACTCAGATGATCTTTCAGAACTTGTTCTCCTGACTCCCAGCTTGTTTCGATTTGTCCATAATAGTCTGAGTCTTGCAAATTTTGCAATCTAGTGGGTAATTCGAGGGAAGACTTGGGGTGGGCTTTGGAAACAAGTACCAAGCCATTATTTCAAATATGAATGCCTCTTTTTATTATTATTATTTTTTAATGAGGAATTTGGCAGTGTGGCTCTGGGCCTATTGATTGAAAACTTGGCAAGGAGAAGAGGAGAGTGGGTAATGTGACATCAGATAGCAGCATTGCACAGGGATTGGGAGCTGTCCAGGGGGAGACCCATGAAATGAGCCTGGTCTCTGGGCTCCAGTGGACCTCCTAATAGGTGACCCTATACAGAAGGACAGTGAATCCCAAATGGTCCATTCCAATCATCTGTGGATCTTTAGAAAACATTGAAGTCTGGCTGCAACTCCCTTCATCTGAATTAGGTGCAATGTGGCACAATCTAGGCATTGGGATTTTACACACTGCTTCTGTGATTGTAACCGGGACACGAGGAGGTAGGTAAAGACAACTGGATACACAAAGCTTTCACCTTGGAATTAGTACCATCAGGCGGAAGGGCTACCCTCCCTCCCACCCCCCAATGTCAATGGGCCAGTGGTGGGCAGTTCTAACGAGTTCCAAGTGATGCTTACTTGGACTCCCCCCCCCCCTTTGAGAACCTGGTTTGTGGGTTGCTGAGCTGTGTGACCTCGAGCATGCCTAACAGTCCAGCAGCCCCATTTCTTCATTTATAACATGGGGACAGCAGTGTGGTGGTGACCTTCTAGGCTGTCGGTTGTAGGGGGTGATGTATCTGTAAACTACTTAGCACAGCAGGGAGCACTGGTGGCTTAGTCCATACAGAAAGTCCAGTTGAAACTGATTCCTACTTGATCATCCAGGGAATTATCAGAGGCAGTAAACGGCACGGGAAGGGAATGCGCATGGAGCAAAAGGCCGAGTGGTTTAAATTGGACAGTGGCTCCAATTGCAAAAGATGAGCAATCCCCTCCCAAGTGATTTACAGCCTTGGAAACCCTTCAGGTGGTCAGCTATGCGTTGGTTCTGACCTGAGCATAACAAGTTGTTCTGCTTTGGTTTTTTTCTAAGAGCCTGGCACAGGGGCTGGTCCACAGGAAATGATGCTCCCTGGGGCTTTTATTTACCCACTGGCTGGGCTGGGGTCATGGCAGAGAGCTCATGTATGACTGCGCTGGTTGGTGAATAATGTTCAAGGCAGCTCCCACCCCTGCAGGTCCCAAGTTTGGGTTTTCTAAGAACGGGAAATGCTTAGATAATGTCTCCTGAAGTGCATGAGTCCAGCATCACAAAGGGTAAGGCTGACCTGAGGGGGGAGAGTGGTGTCATATGTGGCCGATGATCACCACACCCTTCAGTCTCTGGGGGTGGCTGCAGGCAGGAGTGCCCAATAGCAAGGCTGTTATGTTGTTAAGCGCCGTCGAGTAGTAAGTGACTCATAGTGACCCTATGAAAGAAAGTTCTCAACACTTGCATGACTTTCATCCTTTCTCCAGGTTCATAGGGTTTCCAGAGGCAAGCTATTACAGAAGTGGATGCCACTCCTGCTTCCAAGCTTGTTTTAATAGGGGAGCGCCACCAAACACTGTCCACTATGGGTAACCATTATCTCATTTGGCATGTCAGTGTCACAGTGTTCAGCTTCACAACAACCACAAGTTACCGCTGTACAGCAAGTGGACACACCAGGGCTATATGACTTTCTAAGCATAGGCATGGCATGCATGTGCACACCTACTAATCTCTAACAGGCACTTTCACGTGGGTGTCAACACTTGATATTTGAAAAGAGGCCTTCATTCTGTAGGAAGGTGCTATGGGGTTGGGAGAGAGATGCCAGCCATACCTAGAAGCAGAATCTTCGATGTGATGTATAAGGTGAAGTTGCTACAGTTTAGGAAGCCCGAGTGAACACATTCTTACCTCGCTTGGCGGGTGTTCCAGCAGCGGCTGTGGGCAGCGATGGCGGGCTCGCCTGCCCACCTGACTCACACACTGTCCTGCGCTACATTCCACATGCGTTTAGTGCAGTGATTTGTGATGGTTCTGATGTGGCCAAGGAAACCAAACTGCTATAGAGGGAGGTGGGGACAAGTGCTTAAATGGCTTGGAAGCCATGAAATGTGTCCTTGAGAGATGACAGTGGATCTTCCTGCTGTCTCTTCTCTCAGAACTCTGTGCGAATGGGGCCCAGATCTGGGGTCACCCCTCCAGGACAGAGACTGTTGTGCACCCCGAGTGCACAGCGTCCTGCTGCCAGCTTTTCTTGAGATCCAGATGACCACAGAATGGGATTGTGTGTGTGTGTGTGTGTGTGTGTGTGTGTGTGTGTGTGTGTGTTCCTTGGTGTCTCCATCAGGCCTAGTCTCAAGGGTTTTCTGGTACTTTAAAAACCCTCTTTTTTTTTGGAGGGGAGATTGATCATGGGGTTGTACAGTTTGATGGTAGGGGTTGAGGGAAACTGGAAGAATCTGGTCTGTAAATAAATGAGTATATATTTATAAAAAGAGAGAGAGCTGTACTAATCTAGCCAATCTTTGCTACTTTGGTCCCTTGTGGTTGGAGGATAAAACAGCCGAATTTCAATTTCCTACTTTGGGAAATCAGTGCTCATGAAAGCAGATATTTAGGGTTGGCCCATAGGTGGAGAACGTGGCCAAGTTCTTTTGGACCAAGGTGGGAATCTGCCTGTGTCCCTGACCCCAGGGGTAGAGTGCAGGTTCTACTTTGTGCCCCTTGTTAAGGAGCTGAAGAGGAAATTGACTTAGAGAACAAGGGAGCTCCCTCTGGGAGGGTGTCTTGTCCAAATCACTTCCAGATAACGATGCAGTCACAGGAAGAGAAACTTACATGTTGGGAGTCACATGAAGGGGGACGTACAAGAGGGTCTACAAAGCCCATCGCTTGCTTTCCTTCCTTCTTTCCCTGTGCCTTTTCCTTCCTCACCTGTGCCCCCGACCAGCCTCACTGCGTCCCTTCCTTTTGGTCCCCCCACACCCTTAGTCATTGATCTCGGGGTGTATTACCCAAATAGCAAGGTAACTCTGGGCTTTTGTGTGCTTGCTTGCTAGTCCGTAATTAGCAAATCCACGTAGGTTTCACCACATCATGAGGAGACTCCACGTGGAGATGGCTCTAAACCTTTATAAACACCTTCGGCTTCTTCAAAGACTACAACGCTCAAAAAGAACCACAGATGTCATCGTGGCTAAAACCCATCATAAAACTAGCCAGTCAGTGCGGTCGACTTGGGACTATCTCTTAGCTGAAACTCTAGGAGAGTTCCCGAGCTGTAAGTAGCATGAGAGAATGTCCGTCTTTTCCCCTCAGAGCCATTGGTGGATTTGAACTGCCAGAGGTAAGACTCTAGGTCTTGTAAATGATACTAGTGCAAACAGTGAACAAATAATCCAGATAAGTGTATTATTTCACTTACGAAACAAATGGGCACTGACTTTCTGTTGTGAGAATACCCAGTCCCTGGCTGCATGTCCCAGGTACTTTGAGGGTTCCCACTTATAGACAATGTCCCGTTGTTCTCCCCACTTTCTGCGGCTTGTAATGAGAAGGAGAGGTGAAATTGTTTTTAATTTGACCATTGAACTATCATCCAGGTTTCCCCTTCCAGCAGCTAAGCCTATATGTTTTCTCAACAGGGTATTAATTACCTGGCTCTGGGAATGGCCAGACTGGCTTTCGGTTGCTCCGGCTGCCCTGCTGGCCCTAATGCAATTGCCTCCTGGACCCAGCAAGACTTAGAGGCTTCAGTAGGGAATGTCCTCCCTGTCAATAAACTCAGACATGGGTCCTGGGTAACTTGTTAAACACATTTATTGATTTCTTGACAGTAACCAAACACAGTGAGTGACCATTATAAACAAGAAAAGAAAGGCATTCGTTTGTACTTTGTGAGATCTCACCGCACCCGGAGAGAAAAGACACCCCTTTCCCAGGAATTTACAAGGCAAAGTGCATTCCTTCAAGGGAGCATCACAAAGGGAGGGGGATGGCAGTTTCAAAAAAACGCAAGAAATCTGTAGCCTGCGGTCTCAGGCCGAAGCTCACCTTGTATGAATGATCGAGCCATGGAGTGGAATTAAAGGGATACTTGCTTAGCAAATGCATTCCTGATTGCCACAAACTGTTAAGAACTGGCTTCAAATGAAACCATATATGAGGATGGAAGAACAGGTGAAATCATAGGAATGCGGTGGCATGGAGCCAGAGCTTCGCCTGCAAAGAACAGACCAAAGCCAAGAAAAGGGAAATGAACTTGTTAAACACATTTATTGAGCTGTTAACAATAACCAAACACAATGTATGACCTCTGGAAAACAAGAAACAGCAAATGGATCAATTCTGATCTTGGCAAATCCTACTACAGATATGTGACAAAGAGGGAAATAATTCCATTTCTTTATAGTCTGCGGTGATAGATATATACAATGTGTATCTCGTCGATGTCTGTCCTTTTTTTGTTTTTTTTTGTAAATTGTTGAGTAAACAGAAGAATCATAATCTAGAAATAAGTGTCCTTGGTTGTCTTTGTCCTAGTTTTGCCTGTCACCAGCACCCTATGAGGATCCTAGGACACCATCTGAGATTATTAGATGCTGAAAACAGAGTTCTCTTGATGCTGTCAAGGCTGTGTTTTCTCCCCTCTCACTCTTGGAAGATTTGTGTATGTACAAAGGCTGAAAAAGTCTCATTAGGTACATTTATTAGTTCAGGAAAACAGTATTAAAATTGCAATCAGGTTAACTGAAGTTGTTTTCTTCTCAGACCTCATATGAACGAATCTTTTGTTTTTGAAACTGGACTTTTCCTGCATGGAGGTTGTGGGAGTATGTAGCTATGTTTACCTCTGTGTAAACATATGCATGTGGGTATGTCTGAGTGCATGTATGTGTGTATGTGCGTGTGTGTGTGTATGTAGGAGATCTGTTTCTCAGCTATGGTTTTACAGCCACTTCCATGAAGAAAGGGCCAATCCCAAGAGTGAATGAGGCTTGGCAGAGGGAAGGAGAGAGAGAAAAGGGGGGCATTCTAGGTTACGTCGATTCACAGTTGTAGCATTTCACTGAGGCGTGATTCTTCGTGGCCTTGTTCTTTACTTGAGGAGCCATTCATTTACTGCAAAGAGAGAGGAAGAAGGAAAAGAAAACACAACACAAAACAAGACATCACTGAATCAATATGCACAAAGTTTTGGGTCCTACTCTAAAGGGGAATACAGTATATTGTAAATGTCTGCTCATCTGTAATATATCTCAAGTTCCCTCTTCCTCAAGAACCTCCAGATCTGTGCCCTCCAGTATGGCAGCCTCTGGCTCCATGTCAACTCAACTCAACTCTTTGCCACTGAGTTGGAAGCAACTTAGAACTGACCCTCTGGTGAGTTTTCTGAGTCCATACAGCACATGGGAGAAAACTGCCCATCTTTCTACCATTTTTTGCCTACAAAGCACAGACCAAAGTCAAGAAAAAGGAAATGAACTTGTTAAACACATTTATTGAGATGTTAACAATAACCAAACACAATGTATGTCCTCTGGAAAACAAGAAACAGCAAATGGATAAATTCTGATCTTGGCAAATCCTACTACAGATATGTGACAAAGAGGGAAATAATTCCATTTCTTTATAGTCTGCGGTGATAAATATATACACTGGTGCACTTGAATTACCAGAGGTAATGACTTTTGATTAGATGTGCAGGTCCCCATAGACCATAGTCCACCAGAAAGAGCTCCCTAGTCACATGTGGTGACTATAATTATAGTGACTATAAACTAAAATGAGTAAAAAGGAAATATAATTCACAATTTGGTTGGACTATTCTGGCCATACTTCAAATATTCAAATGCTCAATATCTACTGGATTAGACATGTAGAACATTTCCATTCATTGTAGAAAGTTCCATGGCGAACTTCTAGTTCATTTAGAACACTGTTCTTAGACCATGGGTGTGGAAACTATAGCCTGCGGTCATAGGTAGCCAGCTACTTGTTGTTTTTTTTTTAATAAAGTTTTATTGGAACAAAGACACACACATTAATTTACATTCTGCTTATGACTATTTTTTGTCTCTACAGTAGCAGAGGGCAATGGAGACTATGTAGTTCAACAGAGTCTAACATATTTATTTACTAGTTGACTTAAAGAAAAAGTTCACTGACTTGACCTTGGCTGTAAGGTCTGCATGGATAGGGTCATATTTGCCTTTTATCACTATGTGATGATATCCTAGAGACATACTGATGTATAATAAATTGGTGTTGAGTAAAGAGAAGAATCAATGAGTGAGTTGAGTGTTTGCTTGGTAGTTCTGGCTGAGAGACCAGACCATCTATGCATTTGGCACTCTATAAATGTGTCTGGGGTGGGGGGGAGAGGGAAGAAAGAAAGAAATATAGGAGACAGAGGAATGATGAAATGGGAGGCTGCGGTGGTATTTTCAAAAGCTTCGTGAGAAAATGAGGAGAGACGGCAATGGCGAGGAAGATAGCCAACCAGGTGGATTGACACAGTGCCTGCAGCAATGGGCTTGAGCATGCCAGAGATTGTGAGGATGGCACAGGCTAGAATAAGGTTTGGACCTGTTCTTAGGGTTTCTGTAAGTTGGACTCACCTTATCGGCACCTAACAATAACAACAATGATAATCACATTTCCCCTTTCATTGGGGAAGCTGTTATTGCTGCAGAGCCTCCCCCACCTGGACTTTCCTTAGCACCTCACAACAAACTGTGATGCTCATCAAGCTGTCCTGTGGAGTCTACCCAACCCGTGGTGGTCCCATAGGCATGAGTAGAGAATTGCACTGCACAGAGTTTCCAATGGCTTTGAGCTGTGATGTTGGAGAAGAATACTGAATATACCATGGACTGCTAAGAAAACAAACAGTTTCGTCCCAGAGAGGGTTAAACCAGGCTGCTCCTTGGAGGCAAGGATTCTGAAACTTCATCTGACATACTTTGGGCATGTTGCAAGGAGGGACTAGTCCTTGGAGAGGGACGTCATGCTTGGGAGCATGGAGGAGAGCACAGGAGAGGAAGACCCTCTTTGAGGTGAATTGATTTAGTGACTGGGATACTTGGGGTAAGTGTGTTGGAAACAGTGAGACTGGTACAGGACTGAGCAGGGTTTAGGGCTGTTGTACATAGGGTCGCTACGAGTCGCAGGCACATTATAACAACAACAACAACAACTGTTTGGTAAAACAGACCACCAGGTCTTTCATCCAGGATGCCTCTGGTGGACAAAAGAAAAAATTTTTTTTAACAGCTGAGCTTGTTAACAGTTTATATTACCCACAAACTCTAGTGAATGGGCTGTACAACCCTTTGAAAGGTCAAGAGAGGCAAATGATGTGGCTGGGTTTGCATGGTGACAAAATGAGCATGGAATTCAGGCGCCGTGGCTCTTACTACAGGCCATTTCCATGACACTTTCCTGCCTCGATTTTCCTCTCCAGGTGAGGAATCATGGAAATGATCAATAGCTATTCAGTCATGTATACTGTGTAGAGGACATGTGTGGCTGGACATGTGGTGCACTATTACAGGATGTAGGAGTCACATCCTCTTTAGCAGCTGTAATAATCACTTCTAAGGACATAGCAGAGGATAAAGAAGAATTCACACACTTTCCTTCATACTATCCTAACATTCTGGGATTCCTTAGCATTTGTTTTCTGGGGAGAAGAGGGCCTCACCTTGCATGAACCCAAGTTATCATTATAGCAGAAAACTGGAAAAATCAGCCTTCCTAGGCTTTCCTAGAAAATGGGTTGAAAAGGGGCTGTCTTGGTTGACACAAAGGGCCATTAATTAAAAAAAAAAAAAATAGAAGCAGGTTGAAGCAGAAAACTTGGCTTTGGCGAAGCAGAAAGACGGCACCCACCTCGATACTGCAGCTTCTGGGCCCGGTTGTTTGGACAGTCCTTTCCTTGTAAACTGAAGTTGATGTTGGTGCGGATGCAGCGGTTGTTAAGTGGCTGGACCGGCCTGAAGTTGTCACTCATGCTCAGGAAGATCTGAGATGGCTGGTTCTGACTGAGCAGGCGTAAGGAATGCATCTAAGGAGAGAAGAGTCGCTGTGAGACCTGCCTCCCTCTCCCCCAGCCCCTCTGGAGAGAGCAAGGCCATACGGGGCACTGGCCAGTCTGCTGTAATACCAGCTGGCTCAGAAGAGGATGTGAGATCCTCACAGCCCTCTATTCATGAGTTCAGTGTCCACTCAGTTCCATGCAGGAGGTAAACCTAGCCTCTAACTCATTAATTCACAGATTTCTCTGGAAAAGTCATTTACTCTCTTGTCTTGAAATGCACTGCCAAAAGAGGAAATCCAAATAGGTGTTCTCCAGGATCCCTTCATCCTAGGACACCCTGCCGTTCGATAATTCTGTGACTCCCACACTGACATTATCCGGGCTACTGTGATAAACAATGCACAGAGATAAGCTCGGCTAGACAAACTTGGCTCCTTTTCTGCGAACACAGAAACAGGGCTCGTGGGTGGCCTGTGATGGCCGCGAACACGATCAGTCACAGAACTAGAAGCTAAGGAAGGCAGTTTCTAGCAGTAGAGTAGAGTGAAGCAAATGCACAGTAAGGAGAACGAGCGTGAGAGTGCGAGCGTGCTTCTGGGCGTGGCAGAGATGGGTCTGATTCCTTTGAATTTCTCTCAATTATTTTTTCTTAAATTCCACAAAGTACTCAAGTATCTGTTAAAAACCCCCTCTTCTTTTGAAGCTCAAGTTATCTGGACAGGGTTTAATTAAACAATTAAAAGTCCCAATCAATTCAAATCGGATCAGGGACTCCAGATTGTTAAAATTCTTGTTGGGATGTAAACATAACAAAAACACTGGATTCTGTTCATCCTTTGAGTTCGTATGTTGCTGTTGTGTGCCACTCAGTCAGAACCAACCCATAGCTGAACCTCCAGTGGTTTTCAGAGGCAATAAATCGCAGGGGAGGAGATTGCACATTCTTCTCCCCTGGAGCAGCTGGTTGATCCAAACCATGTACTTTTGGGATTGCAATGCAGCTTCTTACCATGAGGCCACCTGTCACAGCCAGGACAGCCTCATCTCATTTACCTTCCCCATAAAGAAGAAGAGGATTAATTTCAGAGCACTCAGGTGACAGGCCTAGGTGTACACGATGAGGCATTATCAAAGGGGAACCAGAGGCAGATCATGGAGTTCCCATCCAATTCTAAGGAATTCTACTCCTGTGAGATTCTCTGTGACTCATGCAAAGCTGCATAATGTTTTGTCTCTTGTTGGCAACTCACGTATATTATCATCTTAAAGACCCAGATAAACCCTCCAATAATGGATTCTAGTTAACACTGATTTTAACCTAGCTTTTCCAAGACACATATGAACATAACCCATCCTGTTTGTTTGTTGCACATTATAATTACAGAGTACACTTTGAGAACTAACCGAGCTGTTTGCATCCACTCAGGTGAGATGCTTCTACAAGTTAGTTCATGGCAAACATTTAAAGATGCTGGTTCTGTGAACCCCACTCCACAACCCAGCTGGTCTTCACATCACCTTCCCCGGTGCCTAGAGGACCACAGAGAAAGAAGCTCACCTGCATCCTGGTTATATAAACAGGTTTGTTCATTATTATCCAACTGGCTGTCTCGTAGCAGGGTGGGATAGTCATCGACCCATCATATGTAATGAAACTAGAGGTTTCTGGATAGAGTTCCTCTATATTAAGTCCCTGTAGTAAATATGCATCATCTAGAGAAGAAAATGAGAAAAGCGTAAGAATGAGTTTCTTGAAGAAGTGTTGGTTTTCCTGGAATTTTTCTTTTTTTTTTTTTTAAAAAAAGGATTCCAGAAGGCTGCATCTGTCAGGATAGGCTGCAGTAACAAGCATCCCCTAAATTTCAAACACTTTAAATGAGAAAAGTCCGTTGCAGGTTGTCTGAGGGTATCCTTCCATGACATTGTTACTCTGCGATCCTTGTGAGTTACAATGAGAACAGGGGCAGGCAAGAACGGTGACATACATCTGACTCTTAATACTCCCATCCCAAAGGAGTCACAATGCCACTTCTGCTTAAGTTGGATAGTTAAAGATACCACACAGCAATGAAGGATAGTGTGAAACATGATATATATGAACTTTGTTAGCAAATCAATATAACATATTAAAAAAAAAAAGCTACCACGTAGTCAAGCCTGATATCAGACCTTTCAGGAAGTACACTCTCATGGCAGGATGGGCCCTGGATCTTAGTGAACAGAAATATGTCCTATCTGAAGTGTCAAATCCTTGGTTATGGTCTCCCGAGACTTGAACCCAAACGTATTGTCATCTTGATGAGATGAACACAAAAGCTGCAGACCCTCTTCAAAAGTTGCTTGGCCATTATTTATAATTAAAAAACTAGATTAGAAGAACATTCAGAAAAGAACTTCTGAAAAGAAAAATCTCTTAGGTCAAATCTTACTACAATTCAATAGTTAAGTTCAAGAATGCATTTTACTTTTGGTTCATCTACTCTTTGTCAATGCAGACCAACGAACAAACCCAAATCCATTGTGTTGTAGAATAAAACTGCCTTCCATGGGGTTTTCAATGGCCATAATGTTCATATAAGTAGTAGCTCCACAGACTTTTGCTCGGTGGTGTCCTTGGGTGCATTTGAACATCCAAGCTTATGGTTAATGGCTGAGCACAAACTGCCACCAAGGACTTTCCTGTCAGGCCCATGCAGATACCTTTTTCTCTCCAAAAATCAAAACTCAAACTAATTGCCATTGAGTGTGAACCAACTCACAGCTGACCCTTGCAGTGGGATTGCAGAGGCTGAAAATCATATGGAAGGAGATTGCTCACCTTTCTTCTGAGGAACAGCTGGTGGATTTGAACTATCAGCCAGACGCTGCCTTTGGGTTAGCAGTGAACTTCACCACCAGAGATAACAACAGCACTTACTAATCTATTTCACATATATTGCCTTTTCCTTTACATTTAATATATAAACACTCATGTGTATGTATTATTAAATATACCATTTCTATTATATTAGTGCTATACATACACATCAGACAGAATGGACAAATAGAAAAGAGTAACAACAGTTCAAATAACCTAAACCAATTTCCATTCCTTAAATCTCTCTTATCCAATGTATTGGTGACAGCCTTACAAAACAGTAATGTACTGCAGTTTTCAATCTTGACAGACTTAAATGAACTGTTTTCACTTTCTCCATCTCTCCAAGATCCCACCTCCCTTCCTTTGCACTCTGCTCTCTCCTGACTTTCAGAACACTGAGCTTCAGATAATGCTATTCTATGTATTCTTGTTTCCAATAGCTTTAATATTCCCAACAGATTTCTTTTATCCATAAAGGTAGCCTGAAAATGAAAACAAACCAAACCATGACAATAACAACTCAAAACATAAGGTGAGGGTGCATGTGTGGAGGAACCCAAACAGAAAAGAAAGCCATCACTGTGCTCTGTATATGTATTTCTCTGGCCATTCCTTCAGATCCTCTGTGGTTGCTCCTGACCTTCCTCTTGGGTCTGCCAATGTAGCATTCCCAGGGGAGAAGCATTCCCAGGGGAGAAGCATTCCCAGGGGGGAAGCATTCCCAGGGGGGAAGTATCACCGTCTTTTCTCCCTGATACAATCCTAAGGTGCTTCCTCTATACCTTTGGCTTTAATGATCCTCTATACCCTAGTGCTTCCAGATCTGTCTCCAAAGGCACCAAACCCCCTGGTGAGTCCTTAATGTCCACTACTGTGACTGATCCAGGTCACCTGGAGAAAACATGCCAGATATCCAGGTCCTGCTTGGCAGATGGTTTCCCTCTCAACCTTGTGCCCAATTCCCAGCAGTCTGGAACACCTCTTCAGTGTTTTATATAATCCAAGTACAGTACTGCACACACACTGATACAAAGGGACCTTTACCCATAGCAGGGGCCTCATCCTGTCTCTTTGACATAGACAGGGCAGAGAATAATTTCCTTTTTGATAAGAATTGAGGACCAGAGAGAGAAAAAAATAAAGGTCACAAAGGTGGCTGATGTCCCAAAGAATAGGAACTGAAGTCCAGCAGGTTATGTCCTGCAGACCTTGAGGGTTTTTTTATTCATTCAAAACACATTCACTGAGCACCTACTTTGTGCTGGGCGCAAGGTTAGGGTATGAAGATTGCAAAATGAGCAGGAGAGATGAAGTGTTCATCTTCATTTTAGTAGAAGCGAGAGGAAACAAATGAGAAAATCCATACACGTTGACTCTGACGTCAGGTGGTGGTAAGGACACCTCGGCCTGGCCTGGCCTTATTCACTGACTGTGAGCATCAGTACTGCAAGTTCATTTTCTTCTTCCCTTATCTCCTCGCTTCCTCAATAAATTGCTCATTCAACTGTCTCTGATACAAAAGCACCATTTTTGCTTGTCAATTCCATTAGGAGAAAAATCTACTGAGGCAGTGGTTTGGAATGATATAAATGAAAACATCATTCGCTGTTCCATCTAAAGCTACCCCTCCAGGCCTCAGGTGCTCCTACTGGGGGGACTGAGTATCTCTGGGGTTCCACCTGGTGAAGCTGGACGTGGAGGTCAATCCTAGGATGAAGGGCTTTTTTTTCCACTTTCCATCTGAATGTGTCTGCCTTTACATCAAAACCACCAGAAAATCTGGCCCAGCCCAGAAGAGAAGACATAACAGGAATGTGGCCAGGCTGGGTCTGCACAGTGGCCGGAGGATGAGATGCTTTTACGACACAGTCACAAAGCCCAGAGGACACACTGATGTGATGGTCCTACGAAGGTAGATAAGGTGTCAGCATGACACACTGACTTGGGAAAGTCATCTTTTCACTATTTGTTAAGCCCTATACCTATACCATCAACTGATTTATAAAATTATAGAAAACTCCAACATTTCACCAAAAAAAATTAAAAATATGCAAAAGACATAGATACTTTATCCACAAAAGACATTCAGGTGGCCAACAAATCCATAAAGAAATACTTGAAATCATTAACCATTTAAAAAAATCCAACCTGACCCACTGCCGTCAAGCCAATTCTAACTCAGAGGGGTTTGCCATTGGATTTTTGAAGATTGTAAATTAAAATGAAAGGAGAAAGTTCATCCTTTCCCCACAGAGCTGCTGGAGGATTTGAACTAGTAGAGAAACGTGGCCCTTTGGTTAACAGCACAACATTCTCTGGACCAAGCCCGCAGAACGCCCAAGTCATCAGAGAGATGCAAAACAACAGTGAAACACCATCTTACCAAGGCACTAATATCAAGGATTAAAAAATGTAAGCAACCAGAAAATAAAAAATGCTAGCATCCTGGAGAAGACATGGGGAGACTGGAGTTCTTATACACTGCAGGAGAGACGGTAAAATAGAACAAGCATTGTGGAAAATGGTATGCTTCTTAAAAAGTCAGAAAGAGACCATGTGATCTAGAAATCTTAGGTATGTATTTTTTGAGGAAAAAATAAAAGCCATAGCATGAATAGATATATGCATACCTATGTTAATCACAGCTTTATTTCAACTGGAAAAAGAGACAATGTAAGTGCCCCTAAATAGATACGCAAGCTATGGTGCATACAGACCATTAAAGAATACTAGACAAGGGGAGCTCTGGTGGCCTAGTGGCAAGAAGCTGCAACTACAATCCCAGAGGTGCACGGTTCGAATCCACCAGATGCTCTGCCGGGGAAGGAGGGGCAATCTCCTCCTGTACCAGTCAGATCTGATTTGACGGTACACGCACATAAAAATAATAAAATAAAATAAAAAATTTTTTTTTTAAAAAAAGAATACTAGACAAGTAAAAGGGAGCTCTGGTGGCCTAGTGGCAAGAAGCTATGCTGCAATCTCAAAGGGACACTGTTCGAGTCCACCAGCTGCTCTACAGGACAAGAGTGGGCAATCTTCTTCTGTGCAATTAACTGCTTCTGAAAACCTACCGGAGGGTCAGCTATAGATCGGATCTGACTCTATGGTACCCAACAACTACAACATGCGATGTTAAAGAGTAATGGTGAATCTACAAAACATCTTACAACATAATGACCCTGAGGGATATTATGCTGAATGAAATAAGTCTATAACAAAAGACAAATACTACATTAGATCAATATTTCTTTCTGAAGATAATAAAAAAAATTATTTGAGTAGTAAACCTTCACCTTCAGGACCTTGTCACAAGTTGAAGCCACATTCAGAAAAGGACATGGAACCACAGACATAATCACTGACAGAAAATACCAGAAAGACATATTTGCCTGTATTTTACTGAATATTCAAAGGCATTAAACTCTGGATCATAACAAATGGTGGCTAACATTGCAAAGAATGTGACTTTTAGAACTTTCATTGGGCTTGTGTGAAATCTGTACATAAACCAAAAGGCAGTCATCTGAAAAAACCAAGAGCTGTTGTACATAGGGTCGCTATGAGTCGCAAGCGACTCAATGGCACATAACAACAACAACAACACATATACTGTGTAGTTCAAAATCAGGAAGACCCCTTTTAAGGCATACTCTCATACTCTACTCTCTTGCCATACTTATTCAATCTGCATGCTAAGAAAATAATCTGAGAAGCTTCCCTATATGGAGAAGAATATGGGATTAACATCGGAAGAAGTGTCATTAACAATCAGCAAAATACAAATGATCCAATCTTGCTTGTGGTAAGCAAAGAGGACATAAAGCAATTACTGATGAAGTTCAAACATTGT